GGGGGTGGCGGGATTCAGAATCCCGAGCTGTGACAACATGCTAACTAAAATGTTCACTATTCTCAAGAAATGCTGAGACTTCCAGAAAAGGACGAGAAGAGAAGCCAGGTGAGCGCTGCTAGCTGCGGGACGTGGCCGACGAGGGACTCGAGGCAAATGTGTGAGCACATCTGAAGCCAGGGATTCGATGAATAGAAACCGTAGAGAGGGCCCCGCAGTAGACCTGACACGGCAGAAACACCAGTGAGGACGAAGAGGAATCAATAAGCGATCCAGTTCCAAGAAAACACTCAAAGGGATTAAGAAACGCAACCCGACCTGAGGACAGTGGGGCGACGGCCCGCAGACTGATGCACGCATAACGTGGGGTGAGGGAGACGACAGAAACAGGCCTGAAAGTTCCCGAGTCTGAGGAGAGCATTGGTGCCCAGAGCCAAGGCACAGCCAAGGCAGGGCGCACGGAGATAGATGCACACCACATGCGCCCCGGCCCAGTGCCGAAGGTCGACCACAGAGAGCAGGGGGACGGCAGTTCACCACAACGGGAGCGGGACCAGGGGCACCTGCCGTCTCGCAGACGACAGTGGAGGCCAGAGCGAAACGGCACCCGGAGCACAGGCACGTGTGTTGGCCAGTCTCCCGGCGCCATTTTTCCAGTCAGATTTGCACCCTGTGTCTCTCTGCAGCAATTCGCACAAGATCTTAATCTTTTTCATCATTATTACTGCTTGTGGTGACCTGTGACCAGTGATCTTGGGACTTCCCACCGCAACTGTTCGGGGCCCCACAAACCATGCGCGTGTAAGACGCAGAACCTAATCGGTAAGTGTTATGCGCTGACTGCTCTACTGACCGGCCGTTCCCCGGTCTCTGTCCCCTTCCTTGGGCCCCCCCAGGCCCTGAGACACAGCGGCACTGAAATCAAGCCAGCTGACAATCCCGCCAATGGCCTCTACGTGCTCAGCCACAAGAAGGCCCGGTGAAAGCCGAGACCAGCCAAAGGCCTAGAGCTCTTGTGACCGCCACGGTGGTTCCTGAAGGGCGCTAACTGCCACTCCAGCGAACGCACGGACAGTAAGAAAGTAGAAGCGGGAGAGCCTGGGTGGCTAGGCCGGTTAAGCGTCCGAC